CTTTCAATTTTCTCTAGCAAAAATAATTGTTTGTGTGCAATGGGGCATAACTAGCATAGATAAAAGGAAATATTTAAACTCGTTTCTTTTCTCCATTTATAATAAGGCATAATGCATTCTTTTGACAGATCTGGATGCTGCTGGGCCAAGGTTTAAATCAATACTAAGTTTCCTGCGGCCATCGAATACCGACGCTTATTTCGTTGAAGCAATGCATACTAATGGAGCTACTTCAGAAAAAGAAGGTACTATTCATATAAACTACTTTATGAGGTTGCTAAGTTACTAAATTATCAACTTAACAACCCCCCCTCAATTACTTTTCACATAAAAAGATGTTATTTTTTTTAATTTTCGAAATATTTATATGGCATCGAAAGGTAAATTTAAATTTTAAAATTTTTTTAAAATTAAATAAAATAATTTTTTTCCTTCATTTAAAAAAATCATTCAAACTTTTTTCCGATTGTTTCACTTCGGTTATAAGATACCATCAATATTTAATTGGTTAACACAAATTTTAAGGGAATAGTTGCTTAAAATTTATTTATTATTTTATGAAAATAATGCATTTAAAAATGCATCTTTGATTATAAAATGCGCTTTTTTTTCTTTCAAAACACTATAATTACACATAATTAAACAATTTGTGTTCATTCAAATATTTTTTTGTCTGTTTCAATTCCAATACTTACAAGCACAATACAAAACAATTCAGATACTTACAAGCGTTGCTTGTCACCATCGGCAGCTATCATTTACTGTGATTGGCTGTTTTTTTTTATTAAATACTTTTTTTATTAATTATCAAATCAAAACATCAAACTAGTTTTTTTCAGAACAACATTTGCTATCAAGTGACTTTACGCACTCAAAATAAACTTACAAACTCAAAATAAATAAACAAAAAATAATCAAATATTTTTTTTCGGGATTTATTTTCTGATGTTAACAAATGTGAAAGTTACCACTATAATAGAATATTAATGCAAATTTTGTGGGTTTTTTCATAAAGAGTAAAAAGTTAGAAAAAAGTGAATGAATTGTTGAAATAAAATATCGCAAGAACTTATTTCGATTAATTGTTTGAATCAAAAATATTTTATTTTTTATTATTTTATAAACGATGTTGAAAAACCGACGCAATTCTGCGTTTGCAACTATCTATGTTAACTCTGCAGCTTTCGTAATTTTGAACACAAACCAGGAGACCAAGGAACTCCTGGATCATAATGTGGGACAAGCTACTCTTTGTAGTGGACTTTTCGATGGAACTAACCCTCATTTGCGTTCCGTGGAGCAAAAACCGACGAAAACCTTTTATGGTCAGCGCGACGGTAAGGGGGGATTCTCACCCATGATTTACTTAGGACTGATGATGTTTTATGACAGCACTGTGGTTGGTGCGAGCTAAGAGCAGAATTCGTATACACCAGCCAAAACAGGTATTCGAACTTGGATGACCTCCTTGAGAGGGGAGTGCTCTATCACCAGAGTCACTGTGACTCAGAATAAAACATAAGAGCATTTTTGAATTCATTATTTTTGTTTAATATTCTTTTATGTCCAAGAATTTTCATTCATTTTTCAGGAGAAGGATTAATACCGCCTATTGCAGATATCGATTATTATCCAAATGGAGGTCAATTGCAGCCAAAATGTGTAAAGGGAGCAAGATTTCGAACTGAGACTGGAGAAATTGATACGGGTAAAACATTTAAGCAAAAAATATGCCTATGTAATTCAACCGGTTTCATATTGAAAAATATGTGACTTACAGTGTGCCAAAAAGAAGAGAAAAAAACCCACTCTGAATAACTTTTGTTCTAATGATTTTATTTTCACGTTCTCGTACTCATTCTTAATGGTTTGAAAGGGTGAGCTCAAATCTGCTAATTAATAAGTGCAGACTATATTTTAAGTTGCGAATTCAGACACAAAAAAACGTTCTTTCTCTGAATAAACATGCCTTTTTTTCAACGGATTCGGATTTCTGACCTCCAAAATATCGGGGGTGGCCGCAATCTGAGATATATGGTCCCAACAGTTTGGTCAAGAGAAGGTTCCAACGTTTGGACTTCTTAATGTTAATTTTACTTTTTACGTACTTCGCTATATCTCGAGAACATTTATTGTTTGCACCCAATAATAAAATTTGTTTATCCGAAGATAATTCTATGAAAAAAAAAAACTTCAAGTAAATATTTATTATTTTTCATTATTTTATTTAAAAATGGTCAAAAAAAATTTTGTATTGTAAGGTGTACAATTTTTTTTGCTCCATTTTAAAAAATGTAATTTTATATAGCAAAATACAAAATCAGGCGAATTGTTCGTGATAAATGGAATTTTAAGTATCCAACTTTTCTGGAATTCAATTTGATGCAGCTATCTTCAACATTTTAAGGCTCAGGAAACCGTATCCAACGAAAAAAAGGTATGTTTATTCAGAGAAAGTTCGTTTTTGTATGATTTCGACACTTAGATATCGTCTGCACCAATTAATTAGCATATTTGAGGTCACCCCCTCGAGCCATTNCTAAAAAGTGAAAATCCGATCATTAGATCAAAAATTATTCAGGGTGATTCGTTTATTTTTCGTACTGTACAAAGATGGGTTAAACGATGATGCGTACACTCACTAAGTTTTGGGACATACTACAAATTCCTAATATGTGTCTCTTTTGAAACTAGGCACGCATCCCAATGGTAATTCATCTCATCCGATGCTTATTCAATAACAAGTATCAATGTTAATTACAGCAGCAATGTTGTTGCCCTTGGGGTACATAAACGTTGTCCTTATGCACCCCAATGCCAACAACATTGCTGTCGCCAGACATTGATAGAAACATGCTATTTTTTGTATAGGTGGAACAGGGGGGGGGAACCATTGGGAAGAACTAGAATTTTTACAAGAAAGTTGGCAGTGTATTTATCTTTCCATGTTGAACCAATCTTTGTTCGTCGTATACATGCAAATAAACAATCCTTTAAAATCGGAAAAATAATATAGATTTACCTTGTATTTTTTATTATCAATATAGCCTTTCTTAGAAAATTAATAAATAATATCACTTTAAAAGTTAAAATAGATAAATAAACCATTTGAGTGTAATTTTCTTTTGTTCTTCCCTCTATGATAGCATGTATGGCGCTCTTCTGTCTATGGTAGTTTTTCTCTTCACAGTATGGTATGGCTTAATCTTCTCTCTAGTGTTTTGAATCAATCTAGCTTACAATACCTTTTTTAAAAGTTTATTAGCTACGAGGGTTGTAAATTAAATAGTGGCAACTTAATCTTGAAACTCACAGAAGAGCGGGCATGCGCAAATAGGATATGGGAGCGGCGAGGTGGCGCTGTTGTCGATGTGTAGAG